TCTGTCACAAAAAAATAATAAAAATGTCATATTGGGTACAGTGTTGCATGACCGCACAATTGTCATTCAAAGTGCAACAGCGCTGAAAGCTGGAAATTGGCCCTGGGCAGGAAGGGGGTAGAAGTGCCCAGTAGGCAGGAGGGGGGTAGAAGTGCCGGTAGGCAGGGGAGAGGGTAGAAGTGCCCTGTAGGCAGGAAGGGGGTAGAAGTGCCCTGTAGGCAGGAAGGGGGTAGAAGTGCCCTGTAGGCAGGAAGGTGGGTAGAAGTGCCTGGTAGGCAGGGAGAGGGTAGAAGTGTACCTGTAGGCAGGAAGGGGGTAGAAGTGTCCTGTAGGCAGGAAGGGGGTAGAAGTGTCCTGTAGGCAGGAAGGGGGTGAAGTGTCCTGTAGGCAGGAAGGGGGTAGAAGTGTCCTGTAGGCAGGAAGGGGGTAGAAGTGTCCGGTAGGCAGGAAGGGGGTAGAAGTGCCCTGTAGGCAGGAAGGGGGTAGAAGTGCCCGGTAGGCAGGAAGGGGTAGAAGTGCCCGGTAGGCAGGAAGGGGGTAGAAGTGCCCGGTAGGCAGGAAGGGGGTAGAAGTGCCCAGTAGGCAGGAAGGGGGTAGAAGTGCCCTGTAGGCAGGAAGGGGGGTAGAAGTGTCCGGTAGGCAGGAAGGGGTAGAAGTGCCCGGTAGGCAGGAAGGGGTAGAAGTGCCCTGTAGGCAGGAAGGGGGTAGAAGTGCCCGGTAGGCAGGAAGGGGGTAGAAGTGCCCGGTAGGCAGGAAAGGGGGTAGAAGTGCCCGGTAGGCGACGGGTTAATATTTATTTGGGACATTAATTTACATCATTAATCTAGTTTTATGGAATTCACAATTGATTCTTCTATTTCTTTCCTTGTATGCAGCTGAATGGAGGTTCTACTAGATTTCTTTTATGTAGAAGATTGTCAGCACCTCATTGAATATATATTTGTTACCGGGTATAATCCCTACTACACCATTGGTCTGGGGAAATATTATACAGCCAGTGTTCAAAATAGAGATTCCTTCATCTATAGCAGTGGTTCTCAACCTTTCTAATGCCGCGACCCCTTAATACAGTTCCTCATGTTGTGGTGACCCCCAACCATAAAATTATTTTCGTTGCTACTTCAGAACTGTAATTTTGCAGTGGGAGGAATAGTGCCCCATCGTTGGTGTCAGTGGGAGGAATAGTGCCCCATCGTTGGTATCAGTGGGATGAATAGTGCCCCCATCGTTGGTGTCAGTGGGAGGAATAGTGCCCCATCGTTGGTGTCAGGGGGAGGAATAGTGCCCCATCGTTGGTGTCAGTGGGAGGAATAGTGCCCCATCATTGGTGTCAGTGGGGGGAGGAATAGTGCCTATCATTGGTGTCAGTGGGGGGGGGAGGAATAGTGCCCCATCGTTGGTGTCAGTGGGGGGAGGAATAGTGCCCCATCGTTGGTGTCAGTGGGGGGAATAGTGCCCCATCGTTGGTGTGTCAGTGGGAGGAATAGTGCCCCATCGTTGGTGTCAGTGGGAGGAATAGTGCCCCATCGTTGGTGTCAGTGGGAGGAATAGTGCCCCATCGTTGGTGTCAGTGGGAGGAATAGTGCCCCATCGTTGGTGTCAGTGGGAGGAATAGTGCCCCATCATTGGTGTCAGTGGGAGGAATAGTGCCCCATCATTGGTGTCAGTGGGAGGAATAGTGCCCCATCATTGGTGTCAGTGGGAGGAATAGTGCCCCATCATTGGTGTCAGTGGGAGGAATAGTGTCCCACCAGTGGTGTCAGTGGGAGAAATAGTGCCCCATCGTTGGTGTCAGTGGGAGGAATAGTGCCCCATCGTTGGTATCAGTGGGAGGAATAGTGCCCCATCATTGGTGTCAGTGGGAGGAATAGTGCCCCATCGTTGGTATCAGTGGGAGGAATAGTGCCCCATCGTTGGTGTCAGTGGGAGGAATAGTGCCCCATCATTGGTGTCAGTGGGAGGAATAGTGCCCCATCGTTGGTGTCAGTGGGAGGAATAGTGCCCCATCATTGGTGTCAGTGGGGGGAGGAATAGTGCCTATCATTGGTGTCAGTGGGGGGAGGAATAGTGCCCCATCGTTGGTGTCAGTGGGGGGAGGAATAGTGCCCCATCGTTGGTGTCAGTGGGGGGAGGAATAGTGCCCCATCGTTGGTGTCAGTGGGGGGAGGAATAGTGCCCCATCGTTGGTGTCAGTGGGGGGAGGAATAGTGCCCCATCGTTGGTGTCAGTGGGGGGAGGAATAGTGCCCCATCGTTGGTATTAGTGACACAAATGATGGGGCACTATCCCTCCCACTGACACGAATGATACTTACCTTGCTGACCCCTGCTCCAGCCTGGGCTCGCTCTCTCCCTCTCCCATCTACAGCCTGCAGAAGCAAAATTTGCACTTACCTGTCAGGTGTCTTCCTTCTCTGGCCTCTCTCCTCTTCACTCGCTCCTGCAGCTCCCTCGATCTTCTTCGATCTGCGCGCTCTGCCGCTCGGCTCCTCCTCTCCAAGCTCCACCTCCTCGCCGGTGATTGGCCGCCTGTGTGCCTCTCCTGAGCTACAGTTCCGGTGGCCAATCAGCGGCGAGGAGGCGGTGACAGGGGCAGCATATCCCGCCCACACATCGCCGGAGACAGGAGCGGTGTCTCGGTTCCTAAGACCATCGGAAATATGTGTTTTCCGATGGTCTTAGGCGACCCCTGGGAAATGGTCGTTCGACCCCCAATGGGGTCGCGACCCCCAGGTTGAGAACCGCTGATCTATAGGGGCGCGGCACCCATTTCTAATTGTAACACGTCACCACACATGCAGACGAGAATGTGATTGGGAGCCAGCAAACTTTTTCATAATGAAAATCAACATCTCCGTGGCTCACAAGTCATTTTATATTCATTTTTCCTGCTAAAAATATAACACTGACACTGTACTAATGGCACTAGGCAGCAAGAGATTGACATCTGGGGGGGCGATCAAAGGGTTAACTGTGTGCTTTTTTCTCTATGTCCTGTGTCTGTGTGCTTCACTGTAATCACACTGCTTTGCATGGCTGTGCTGTTCTCAGCCATCCAAAGCAGTGTGCACGATCCGACAGGGAGGAGAAATGTTTTGTTTACAAACAGTTCTCCTCGTCGGAGATCCTCGGCAAACACCGGGCACCGGTGAGTGATAACCGGCCCGCACCTGGTGATTGACAGCCACGACCACCAATGGCGGCACTTTGTAGGGCGCGTACACACCTCTCGTGCCCCCTACCACAAATACAATATCACGTGTGTGTGTGTGTGTGATTTTGCACACCGTGTCGCCCTGTAGCAGTATTTCAGCTATGGGGCGGTCGGGAAGCTGTTAATAATGAAACTAATATTTATAATGATAATAATCCCAATAATAATGGTAATAATAGTATTAAGAATGGAAATAATCATTTTTTATTTGTTTTATTTATAGGTGCGCAACAAATTCAATAAATCGTAATCTTCTCATCCATCAACCAATCACATGGTACACATAGTACAGGACCTCTACCGCCATGTCATTGGTTATAATGTATGCGGAATCTGCGTTTTGTTGTATTTGCTTCTCACCTACAAATAAAAAAAAAAATATTTTTTCCATTTCTAATCCTATTATTGCCATTATTATTCGGATGATTCTCATTATAAATATTATTTCTATTATTAATATTATCACGCCAATACTAAGGAGGCGAAGCAGCCATCTTGGATATTGCGTTGGCTGGGAATCGAACCCAGGTCAGCTGCTTGGAAAGCAGCTATGCTAACCACTACACCACCAACACGAGGTTGCATGTTTTTAGAGTGTGGGAGGAAACCGGAGTACCCGGAGGAAACCCACGCAGGCACAGGGAGAACATGCAAACTCCATGCAGATAGGGTCCTGGTCAGGATTTGAACCAAGGACCCCAGTGCTGCAAGGCTAACCAATAAGCCTCTGTGCTGCCCATATTTTGGCCTCTGATGTATAAGGCCCGCCCCCGCGGAGCGGGGTAAATCAGTGATGTCCAGTAGAGATTAGAGATGATGTCTTCAGCTGTACATTATTGGGTGGACGGGTTCGGGATGTCGTCCATCTTATTTCCCACATGAGTGTCCTGTCTGTGAACATGAGGAGAACTCTTTTTGTGTGAGATGTTGGTCTGTGGAGCGGCCATGTGAAGAACGCTTCGTGCTCATGTCTTCTGATGGTGAAGGTCTCCTCTGTGCCCCCAACCTGACCCTTAGACAACCTCATATAGGACGTCGCTGGTAGTCAGAGTTCTCATTGGCCCCAGCAGAAAAGGCCTCAAGCTGGGATGACGACTCCTCCCACTTCTGAAGCCAAGAAGCGTTCCTGACGTTTCTCTGAGACTTCAACCTCCAAGGCCAGACTTAAGCCAGGGGTCCAGTTCAGTCACAATCCTGGGGCCCCTAATACCACAAACCTACAGACAAGTTCTATTAAACATCCTAAGGGGAAGCCACCATTTCTCAAAGTGGGGGACATCTTTTGGCCTTTGGGGTCACCTGGTCAGAGACATCTCTGCTTGGGTAAGAGACGTGGTGTCCAGAGGCTACAGGCTGGAGTTCCACTCCCTGCCCCCACCACGCTTCGTGTTGCCTTTGTCCCCGCATAGACTACTGTCCTCCATGCTGCTCCTGCAGATCTTTTTGTTTTTTTTTTTATTTCATGGCTTTCCAACTAACTGCACCTGTGCAGCTTAGTACAGAATTTCATCAATGTCAGGATGACTGAACTCCCACGCCTGCGCGAGATTGAAGTCACCTTGGCCCAGCCAATTAAAATGGCTGGAGATTAGTACCCAAGAGCCGCCTGGCTGAAGATGTCAGTGGCTGGTGGGGAGCTCCGGTACACCTCAGCACTGGAGCCAAGAAAAGAACAGTTCTGCTTTAAGACCAATGGAGGACCTTTTTGGTTGGTCTACGCTTCTTCCGTCGCTGCAATAATTTCTGTAGGATAAAACGGGTGGTATCGCTAGGAATTGCTCCTCTGGATTGGACACTGGGATGGACAGTCATGGTTGTCCATTTCTTGCCTATTGCCAGAACTCGATCGTAGGATCATGTCTTTTGTTGGAAAGACGCCAGAAGTCGTTGATGGTAAAGTGTTATCTAATGCTGGAAAGAGTAAACCTCTTGTTGATGTGCTGGAAGGGTGACCACGGATGGGATCCCTGGGAGGTGCGACGCTGGGAATGGGAACGTCAGTATGATCCGTAGGGCTGTCCACATTTTCATTTTTTGGTGGGATGGTGTCACTCTCTGGTGGATTGAGCTCGCGGTGCCTGAACCCCTTGGTTGGCCTGCGCCTTTTCATTTGCCGGCATAAATCCTTTAGGCGAGCGCAGATGGGATCCCTAGGAGGTGCGACGCTGGGAATGGGAGAGTCAATCTTGTCCATAGCGTTGTCTGCATTTTCCCCTTTTGGTGGAATGATGACACTCGGTGGGATAATGTCTGTCTTCTGTGGGGTCTCCTCTTTGTGCTTGACCACCATTTTTGGCATGCGGTTCTTCATTTGCCGGCATAGGTGAACACTGAGG